ATAATAATAGGAAGGAAAAGCTGTGACTGATCATTTATAAATGGAAAAGCACTGAAGATACATGTCATAAATGTAGACATTTCTATGATAGTGATGGCCACAATAAATGATAGGTACGGCAATAACTAATAAATTTAATTCAATAGCAGAAAAATAATCTGAAACCAAATATCACTATAAAAGAACATAAGTTTTAAGAAGCCACATGATTTGAGAAGTTTCATCACATTTGTAATGAAAACTCTCGGTGGCCAAATTTATGGAACAGAACATGTATTTGAGAACACATAGATTACTTTATCAAGTCCTGTATGAGTTCTGATGACTAAAGAGTGCTAATATTCTAAGGATTCAGTTGCTATAGGATGGGAGTGGAGTGGGGGAAGTCAGCATTCAGCAGATAAGCCTGCCCACAAATCTCCAAGAAGATTCTTTGAATCCGTACAGACATTTGAGAGAGGTAGCTCAGACAGACTAGGGTGTTAGTCCCACGGGCTGACAAATCCCAGGCCTCAGCCATCTCCAGGGTCCTCAAATAAAAGGTCCTAAGAGCCGTGCTCTCTGTGACCTCATTACATGGTGATAGTGGGCAGGGAGAATATGACCAGAGGCACAGGCTTAAATGCCTCTTTCTGTTTTAGTCACAGATCTCAGGCCATCAGGTTCTCACTCCACATCTCAGAAATATCTTTCTGACCACAGAATGTCCACGGGCACTTCTATCTAAAACTAATCCATCCTATAAAATCTGACCCAAACCATGCCTATGCTATGAAAGTCGTTCCTAACCAGCTTAACTGAAAAGACCTTTTCTTCTGAATTTCACAGACAGTGTCTATCTATGTGATTCAGCATCTCACCTTGACCTGCTTTGAGGCTCCTGGGACCTCCTGAACTATTCCTTACCTTCTCACGCATTCCTACCTTATCTTCACCTTGCAATCTCCTATACATCCCACACAGGCACACACGGGACCACCGTGAGCATTTTTTTATGCCAGACTTCTATATTCCTGCTTGGGTAGGCTCTTCATTTCCCGTACAGTCTTTCCTGCTTCCAACCACCTCAAAAAGATACTACCATGATACACTCCACCCTCTCCTTTTTTTTTTTTTTTTTAAGATTTTATTTATTTATTTGAGAGAAAGCGAGAGAACAAGCGGGGGGAGGAGCAGAGGGAGAAGCAGGCTTCCCGCTGAGCAGGGAGCCCGATGCGGGGCTCGATCCCAGGACCCCGGGATCATGACCTGAGCCGAAGGCAGACGCTTAACGACTGAGCCACCCAGGCGCCCCTCCACCCTCTCCTTAATGGGACCAGTTCTCACCAACTGTCTGTGCATCAAGTCCAAGGGTTTCCTTTTTATTTTCTAGCCCCTCCTGCAATCAATCTGAGACAGACACTTTCTTTTCTTACTCCTCTTTTCGATTTGCTTTTTCTCAGTCATATTCCACACCATCTTGAACTTCTTCATCCCAAAATGACACACTTAATAAATCAGCACTAGAAAAAAAAAGTTTGCTTTCCTGATGCACATGTGTACTTCTTTTTATCAGGCCCAATTTTATGCTTCAGTTTCTATGTCTTACTAGTCATCCTTTGTGCTCTTGTTGTTACAAGCTACCTCAAGTCACCTTAAATCAAGGCAGCATGTGTCTTTCTGAAACAAGGGATTATATTTATACTGTAAATCTTCCAACTCATTCTGCAAAATCAATTTCCTCCTTTCTCTCCCCATCCCCCTCCAAACAGAATGGAAACTCCATATGAAGAGATACAGGGATTCTCTGATGGTCCCTGGCACCTAAAATAGTGCCTGGCACTTAGCGGGGCTTGGCAGGTTCTTGTGGAATGAATGTTGGCTGAATGAACCTCCAAACAGCCTCCCAGATTCTGCTCCTCTCCACCTCTTCTCTGCTTCACAGGAAAATGGTCAAGAACATAAAAGCCAAAGTGAAACTGTCAGGGTCCAGTCACTGGCTCACCATCTAAGTAGGGGTATGATCTTGAGCATTATTACCTGACTTCTCTCAATTGCAATCTCTCCCCAACCATCAGTGAGGATATGAATAGGCTTCCAGTGAGGACTGAGCGGGATAATGCAGATAAAGTCCTTGGCACACTGCAAAGTGCACACACCAAGAGCTAATCGTGGTTCTTTTGTTCATGCTTCTCCCATTCAGTGTCACCTGTGTCACCACACCTGCATAAGTCAGCCTTTCTATCTGAACCTTCTCAACCTGATAAAAGACTGGACCCTGACAACAAGATTATTTCGACTCAAATATGAGCAAATCAAAAGGCTCTGAGCCTATTTGAGGCACTTTGAGTGAGGGCTTGAGAGTATTTTTTTTCCTGTGAAAAATATGTATGCACTTTAGTGACAGAGTTTAGACATCTACTGAGCGGCCCCCGGCCTCTATGTTTCTGCATTTACATCCCAGTTTTCCACTCCGTTCACATAGGTTACATTGCCCAAGAGTGCAGGTCTGCATCTGGCTGCTAGGGAATAAACCAAATGGCCTGTGTTATACAACTGAACAGTGAGGAAAAGCTTTCTATGTCACTCTTCATTTTACAAAATTTATGAAAAAGTACACTTTACATCTTAGGTCTTTAAGAATCTTCATGTGCCATTCTGATTTTAAGAGCTTTTCTGTAAACTAAATATTAACCAGGAGAAACCACTATCTTTATTGTATGTCATATTCCTCATACTCTCCACTTGGCTGGAACTTCATATGCAGTAAATGTCAACACTGTGCAAACTGGGGGTGATTTAACTCTTGCTTTATTTTGATTTTTGCTCCTCCAAATAAAGAACAGTGACCAGTAAATATTTCTTTAGAACAAAGGGCAGAATACATTTGGTTTACAGCCAGCTTTTGACCTGAGGCAAAGATGTTTTGCAGAAGCAACCCTTGAATACATAGGAGTACTCACATTTCATGAGAAATAGCTGGCTACACTGAACACACTTTATCCTTTCCAGGATGTCCTACATTTCTATAAACGTTGGTGACATTCCCTATCCCATAACTAATATTGCATTTTTTTGTTGGGAAATTCATGTTAAGATTCTGAGTTTTAACTAGTTAGAATTCTCTCAACATTAAATATGTGCAAGGAAGGGTCATAATTAAAAACTGGCAAAACTCACAGCCTACGTTCACCACAAGCAAGCAAGAAAGAACAGGAATATTGTGGAGCATTTACCTCACATGGCAAGGTCTTAACTGAAAAAGGTGGTCCCTGCTTTTAAAAGCACAGGTCTCAAAGACATGCCAACACAGCAGACACATCAAGTTCACTCAAATTTGGGAATAAACGTCTGCATAACTGAAGTGACCAACAACTTTCAAACCCCCCTACTGACCATACAAACACGTATCATTGGTTATGCCAGCTCTGTTTTCCCCAGTCATATCCAATCCTTCCATAGTCCCTGGTATACTCTAAGGCAAAAGGGAAGTAGAACTTAACAGATTTTTTTTTTTTTAAGTTAATGATTCAGGCAATTCTTGGAATAACTTCCACTTGAGAAAATGTAACTAAGAGGTCCTATCGAGAGACTCCCCAGCTGCTGAGAGCTCAACTCTGGAAATTCCCTCCCTTTCGCCCATTCCTGACTATCCCTAATGCAAGTCACAAAGTTTAATGACCCTAAAGAGCCCTTTTTTGCCTCCAGCGCACTTGGAATTCTTTCTAAATACGCATTAAGACGCTCAAAGATGTTTACTGAATTGAAGTCGAAAACAAAAAGCACTGGAAACCTAGCTCCAAAAGCCTTGCTCCCTCGCCCAACCCCCTTTCTTCCCCCAGGAGAGGAAACAGAGATCTGGAGCTGAGAGTTGAGCCATCCAGTATCCAAGGGGTCTGACACTCAGCCCATGAAGTGATGACAGCCAGGAGGTCTGGGCAGTGGTTCCAAAATGGGGCACCCACTGCGCTGGGAAATGTTGGGCGCTTGCCAAGATACAAACCCTCCCCCCGGGGAGCTGAACCGGATGGTCGGAAACCAAGGCAGTTCTAAGGGATCCCAAGCCCCGAATCGAGTTCCACCACCCTCCTTCCTGTTTATAGATCCCGCTCCAGGAACTCCAACTACCAAAGAGAAAGCAGACGTCTCAGAAATATGTCAATACATGACATAACTTGAAAGAGCTGGCTGCTCATTGGCGCGAGTTACAACTTGTCGGGTTCACACAGGAAAACCGGCTCACTTTAATTACTTTCCTTTTAATATGCCATGCCGTCCCCTCCTGGGCCCCCACATAGATCGGGTTACTGAGAACCAGGGAGCCTCGGCGGCAGGACCAAACCGTGTGGGCGGTTAGCGAAAGGCAAGGAACGCAGGAGCCAAGCCGACCGCCGGCGAAGTGGCTGCCCATTCGGATTGGCGACAACAGCAGCGACTCTTCCCTCGCACAGGCGCAGGAAGAGGAAGCCTGGCACCTCCTCGCAGTCGGCACCAAGTTGCCCGACAGCCCGGTGATGTCGCGAGGGGGCCTAGCGGCACCGCGCCGCTGCCCTCGGGTCGGCCCCGGGCGCGCCACCTTTGTCTCGGTTTCCCAGTCCGGACGGGCGACGCCTGTCGCGAACCGGGCTTGCCTTGGTCGGAAGCACCCACCCGGCGCTCGGCTTCCCGGCCTCTGCGCGGGGCCGGGGAAGCCCACGCGGCCGCCCCAAACCTCCCACTTCCACAGCGCGCCCGCGACTCTCCGCCCGGCCGCCACTTCCCTGGAGCGGCCGCCGCAGGGTGGGGAGCCGGAGACCCGCGCGCTCGCGGACGCCGCAGCCGGGCGCACCCCAGTTCTCTGGCCAGGCGGGGGCCACCTTGCCCTCCGCGGGGCCCGCCTCTCCCGTGCCCACGCGTGTTCCTTACTCTGGAGAGCACCAGCCAGAGGACCTCCAGCGAGGCCAGATCTGACGGGCCGCGGCGAGGGGAAGGCGCGACAGCCAGTCACCCACACCCACTGGCTCCCCTCGGCCCTTTCTCACCTGCCTGCACCGTGTCCGAGAGGTCGTGCCCTGGGGCCGCGGTCCTGGGAAATTCCTTCAATTTCCTGGCGCTGAGGTTCAACCCCCCGGAATTGGCCGCTTCCTCCAGCGCGCGCTCCAGCCCCCGGTTCAAGGGCAGGTTGAAGCCCCCGCTGCCGCCGCCGCCGCCGCCGCCTCCCCCGACCCCGCTGCCGGCTCCGGTTCCTCCGTGGTGCTGATGGTGGTGGTGGTGGTGGTGGGGATGGTGATGTGGGTGCAGAGTAGCCACCGAGAGGGCAGGGATGAAAGGTTGGGGTTCGCTTCCCGGCGTCGCCATCTTCTCCCGGGCCCCCCCACCCCGCCCCGCCGCTCCTGCGGGGGGGGTCACAGCTTTCCCCCGGGAGGGGGAGACTGCAGCGCGGGCCGAGTCCCTGCAGTGCCCCACCGGAAGATACTGGAAGAAGGGGAGGAGGGTGTGGCAGGCGCGCGGAATGGGGGGCAGTCGGGGAGGCGGCAGTGGCAGCTCGGTCTCGAAGGTTTCCTGTCCCCGGGAAACTAAGCACTGCGGCGGCGGCGGCGGCGGCGGCGGCAGGCAGCGCGCATGTGTCTCCTCCCGCCCTTGCTCCCTCCTCTAGGCGGCTCTCCCCTCCTCCGCCGCGCCGCCTGCTCTCTCCTCCTCCTACCCCAAGCTGTCAGTCCAGCCCTGAGCCTTCCTCCGCTCGGAGCCCGGCCGGCCCCCCGCGGTTTCGCTGCGCTCCGCCTGGCAGTCGGGGGTACGTCAGGGGGGCGGACCCCATTTCCGGGGTGATCTTCGTTTAGACGCCCAACGTCCCTGGGTTTCTTTTTGCTGCCCAGGGTATTTGGGGGGGGGGACAAGAGGTTTTAGAGGGTCTGAGAAGACGCCAGCGAGGCAATAGATGGGGTTTGAAACACAGTGAGATCATGAGGAGGTCAGAGGTTATCTCAATTCTGCGAACTATATTGGCTCCCTGACCCACAGCTCCCCAAGAGGCAGTTTCTCACCGTGGGGTCAGACCCCTGGCATTTGGGCGCCTACAATGCACCAGTGGTGGTCTAAGTAGTCTACATTAATTATCTCATTAATCCAGGGATCCCATGAGCGGAAAACCTGTTTCCCCAGAGTACAGAGGAAGTTAAAACAGAACAAAACAAAACAAAACAAAACAAAAAAACTTGTCTAAGGTCACCGGTGCAGTCCGAGGCGGAGCGGGATGCGAACTTGTAGCCCTCAGACTGTAGGGTTGCCCTTCTTCCTGTGTAGTCCCTGGCTGGACCCCAGGGCGAAGAGACAAATAGGAGTAGGGCAGAAGTTATTATGAGCGATGGGGAGAAACTACAAACACAGAAAGGAAGGATTTTCAAAATGAGGGTAGTTTTGATGGTGGACAGAATCCACTGGCACATGAGGGAGAGGGGCTGGCTATGGCTGACTGAGCCCCGAAGTTGAGTGGTGCAGAGAGAGGTAAGAAAACCAGTGACCTCAACTAGCCAGTAACTCAGCACATTTTGAGCCTACGCACAGGTACCGTCAAAGTGTCCTTGTGCCGCTTCTTCTTGCCCCCAAAGGACATGGGGACTGACGTGTAAGCAAATTCACGTTCTGCCCAGACGTGGCGACAGAACATCTGACAGCATAGGGCAGTCCGGCTGAAGACTGATAAAACCCCACTCCCTTCTGAAGTTGTAGCTCCAGCTCTCTAGGGCCTTCATCTCTGCGAGATAACCACCTCGACGGTCGCTGTGAGCGACTTGGTTAGGAGAGATGAGGATGCTTGTAGAAAATACTACAACCCCGCTGGTAGGTGAGCCAGTCTTTCAAATGGTAGGGCAGAAAGATGATGGCCTGGGCAAGAGGCTGGAACCGGTGACTTCGTGTACTCGGCACTAAAGTACGACATGATCTATGTCAGTTGCGTTGAGTGCATGCACAGTCGCCCTCATTTCCTACAGGATTCTAGGATGCCTAAAATATTCTCATCTCGTCGGAGGAGACAAGCGCCACCTGCTGGTATCTCCCCCCAAACCTCCTCTCTCACCAAGCTCTTAGTTAATCCCCTCAACTTCCCAGACTTTTAAAAACCAGACTTGGAAATAATAACAATAGTAAATAAAAGCACACTTACATCACTTATAAAAACTAACCTACTTTCCCCTTTCTTCACTGGTCTTTCCCCAAAAGGTGAGGGAGAAACAGAAACAGGAAACATTTTCACTCACTGTCTTCAGCTAAAACCAGGTGGTAGTCTGTGTCATCAGTATGCAAGTTATAGTTGAGGACACTTAGCAGATTGCAAATTTAGTTCAGACCACAGATTGTGATGATGCATCATATAGAGCATCATTTTTTTAAAAAAAAGACCACAAATTCTTTTTTAGAGGAAATGATGGAAAAGTTCAGGATTTGCTTTTTAACAAGCGATCAGTCTTTATGTTAGAATGACATAGTCATTATAGTTTGCTTTTCCTTCTACAGACTACAAAGTGTAAACTCTTTGGGGGCGGGACCCATTCATCTTTGTAACTCCCACCCCATATCTAAAAGAGTACTTTGTGTATAAGGAGCGCACAATAAATATTGGTAATTAAGCATGGCACAATAGGCCAAGAGCACAATAAACCTGTCTATTGCACAATAGAAAGCTTTCCATTTGTTGGTATGTCTTTCAAATTATGTCCCTGAATAAAGGAGTTTTTCCTTAAAATGGAGGAGAGTACTTGACCCTTAAAACAGACCTTGATTATTTCTAAATATTCAAGAACGTGACAAACTATTTTCTCTTGCTGTCTTGCTTCTCTATTTTTGGGCATCTCTGTTTCGTTACTCTTTTTACTTCTTGTGAAAACGGTACCGTCTTCCCATCCACTCTCCCCACTCCATACTTACAGTTCTTCAACACAGCTGGTCACCTCGGTTAGTCTAGAAGTGGACTTCTGACCAAATGACAGAACAGCCAGAGGATCGGAAGGTCCTGAATATGTTCAAACCCTAGATTCTGACTGTTCCTGATTTGCATCTTTAGTTTCTATGAGACATCCAGTATATTTGTAATACATTCTACTGTTCACCTAAGTCAATTTTATTTGGTTTTCTGTCGGTGTAACCAAGAGTTCTAATTAATACATTCAATTTACCATATTTTAGTCTTTATTCCCCCTTGTTTTCCTATATAACCTCATTTTTGGATGGCCAACAAATAATCTTTTACAAACTATTTGGATAATGTCAGCAGATTTTTTTCATGTTTTGTCTTTATTACCTTCCAATCATCCTACAAAGTTGACAGAATTCAAATGATTGAGAAAATGGGGGAAATAGAAATAGTCTCAGATTAAAATATTGGCTATTAGAAAAAAAGTGATCATTTTCATCAACAAACAAAAAAATTTTAGAACCCTTTTTTTTTTTTTAAATTCCTCTGGCGCTCAGAAAAGATACCAGACTTTTCCATATTTAAGACCCAGCTCCTTTATTCTTGCCTGGAAAATAGAGCTGTGGACAAGCTGATGAGAATCAAACTTATTAAGAATGGCAGATAGATTTGAGCAGGGCTAGGGGCACCTGGGTGGCTCAGTTGGTTGAGTGTCTGCCTTGGGCTTGGGTCATGGTCCCAGGGTCCTGGGATAGAGCCCTGCATTGGGCTCCGGGCTCAGCAGGAGTCTGCTCCCTCTCCCTCTGCTCCTCTCCTGCTCATGCTCTATCTCTATCAAAGGAATACATAAAATCTTAAAAAAAAAAAAAAAGATTTGAGCAAGGCTATTTGGCCTATACCACCTTCTCAGAAAGCCATGAAGAATTCTTTTGGTGGGAACTTGAAGCATTTGCTGAAGAGGTAGGCATGGTCACCCAGGTTTGACCTTCACGGTCCTGACTGCCCCCGCCAGCCATAGCTAACTCGATAAGAGGGGCTGACACAAGATCTAGTCAGCCCCAAGCAGGGAAGTTCACCCATTGGACTCTCCTGAAAATTGAAGCAAAACACACCAAGACCAGAGTCAAGTAACAGCAGGCATTTGACCCCAAAGGCAGCCAGAGTCAGAGCTTATTCCCATCTTCTTACCTTGATATTCTCCAACCTCCCTGCTTCAGTTTCCTCTTTCTTAAAAAAGGAGTAAGGATATTCCCTGCATAACACCAACCTTTTTGATTATTCCCTCCACATGCTCTCAGACTTAAGTATTCTCTTTGCACTATATCAGTAAATATTTATAAGTAGATATTTATCTGGAAGTGATCAGAGTGTGTTGTATTCATTTGTATTTAAGTACATCAGGGGCAGAACTCAGGCCTTTTTTCCCCAAGAGCCCAACGTGTGGCAGGAAGACAACACTCTGACCTAGAACTTCTGAGAGATTAATAGCATTTTTTAAAAGATTTATTTATTTGAGAGAGAGAGAGAGAGCACGTGAGCAAGCCATGAGTGGAAAGGGCAGAGGGAGAGGGAGAAAGAATCTCAAGCGGATGCCATGCTCAGCATGGAGCCCTATGTGGGACTTGATCTCACAACCCTGAGATCACAACCTGAGCTGAAACCAAGAGTAGGACACTTAACCAACTGTGCCACCGGCACGTCCCTAATAGCATTTTGAAAGAACCTGTGAGGGATAGATAGCTTGGACCACCCAGCATGTAAAGATGATTGTGACAAAGAGTTTTTTGGCTTAATTAGGTTGATACCTCTTTGAATAAGTTGTAGGGAGAAAATGTCAGAGACCAATAGCTGAGCCTCGGGTTCCTGTCAGAAGTTTCTTAAGAGGCTACTGGGGGAAGAGCCACTGGACAATTGACGACTAAAGGGCACCAGCTAACAGAACTTTAACTTATAAAGAAATGTATTTTGGGAGCGCCTGGGTGGCTCAGTCGGTTAAGCAACTGCCTTTGGCTCAGGTCATGATCCTGGGTCCTGGGATCGAACCCCGAGTTGGGCTCCCTGCTCGGTGGAGAGTAGGCTTCTCCCTCTGCCTCTGCCCCTCCCCTTCCCCTGCTTGTGCTCTCTCTCTCTCTCTCACTCTATCTCAAATAAATAAATAAAATCTTTTTAAAAAATGTATTTTGAGTAACTGGCTTTTTAAAGATGTGAATGTAAATATTGAATTTTAGATAACATTAGATAACAACTTTACTATGATTGGTTCCCCTAAATATTTCATCTATTTTTTATATTGTGTGTTATTGGCTTACAATATAATTGCATATTATGCTATTGGCTTGTAATACAGTAGTCTCCCCTTATCTGTGGTTCTGTCTTCTGTGCTCTTGCTTACCTGTGGTCAACTGTAGTGTAGAAGTCTGATGATGTCCCCCTAGCATATCATCAGAAGGTCAATAACAGCTTACCTACCCCTATGTCACAATGCCTATGACATTCACCTCTCTTCATGTCATCATATAGGCATTTTATCATCTCATATCAACTAAATATTGTTATAATTGTTTTTTTTTTATTCTTGCTAATCTCTTACCATGCCCCATTTCTATATTGAACTTTAGCATAGGTATGTATGTATAGGAAAAAAACAGCATATATATGGTTTGATACCATCTGTGATTTCAG